ATATTCAGGAGAAGCAAGGGGAGCAGCCTGGGAAGGGCAAGGGCCATGGAGGTGGACAGAGATCCACTGGACCAGAGCCACTGGGGAAAATCAAACAGTGACAGTATGGGACTCTGAGAGTATGGCGGGGAACAGGGATCAAAGGAGCTCAGAGGACAGACGTCTTGGTGGCATGTGGAAGAGATGGCACACTTGGTCCAGATGGTGTCCCCTCTTCATCAGACCTGTCTGGCTTCTCAATATTACTAGCCATTGCCCATACTACACCTTCCCAGGCCCATATATATCACTCGCTATGTTACGTGGCTTTTTGCTTTCTGGTTTCACAGCTGCCTGGATTCTGTATGAGCATGAAGACAAGCTGGGCTTTGGAGCCAAATATCCTGATTCAAACCCCAGTTCCAGCACCAACCAGCTATGTTACCTCAGATAAGTTACCTAAACGCTCTGTGACTCAGTTTCCTCATTTGTCAAATAAAGTTCATAACAGGACCTGCCCCGCAGGACTATTGTGAGGACTGAAACAGTAAATAGTAAAATGGAGCCTGCCATACACTATGTGCTACCAAGTATCTATTAATAAACCCACTGGGTATGGCAACACATGCTTGTGGGCCCCGAAAGCTGAGATAGGAGGTAACTTGAGCTCCAGGGTTAAAGGCCAAATTGGGCATCACAATAGCAAGACTATGTCAATCAATCAGTCAATAGAAATGAAAAAATAAACCCTAGCATAGTACAGAGACAGATGTGAGGGGCAGGAGGGAAGGGGGTAGTCAGCAGAGTACCCAGGAACTGTGAGGTTTAATGAGTTAATGTATACTACAAGGGCATAAAGTCGGTCCTCAGGTACCAGTACCTCTTTTAGTATCTTTGTGTGTATGCTATGCAGATGCACACACCCATGAACACGTGGAGGCTTTATCCGCTCCACCTCAGTCCACTGAGACAGTGCCTCTCGATGAACTTAAAATTAGTCATTTTGGCCCTAGCAAATAATTCTTTTATCTTTACAAATTTGCTGAATTGACTCACTAAATCCCTAACATAACCCAGCAGACATACCCAGGAAATGAGTGAGGGGATGGATGGATGGATGATGGATGGATGGATGGATGAACAGATGGATGATGGACAGATGGATGATGGATGGATGAATGGATAGATGATGGATGGATGGATGATAGATGGATGGATGAATGATAGATGGATGAATGATGGATGGATAGATGGATGGAAAGAATCACTTAAACAGTCTCGGGGTTTCAGGAGAGAAATGACAAATTAGAAATCTGGACTACAAATGGAACCAGAGGCCAGGGTGTGATGGAATATGCCTACAATCCCAGCACCCAGCAGAGAGAGGCAATTGGATCTCTATGGGTTAAAGGCTAGACTAGTCTACAAAGCAAGTTCCAAGGCAGCCAGGGCTACACAGTGAGATTCTGCCTGAAACAAAACCAAAGCAAACAGAGCTAGGGTACAGACATAATATTCTAGGGTAAATACAGAAAGTTGGGTGTTCCTGAATTAAAACTCCAAAATTCAGAATATCCCCAAATCCCAAACCTTTGAGGTACTGGTGTAATGCCACAAAAGATTAACTAAAATTTGCATAAGCTACCTCCAAAGCTGAGCATGGTGGCATACACCTTTAATCTCAGCACCTAGGAGGCAGAGGCAGGTAGATCTTTGTGAGTTTGAGGCCAGCCTGGTCTACATTTCAAGTTCCAGGACAACCAGGGCTACATAGTGAGACCCTGTCTCAAAACAAAACAAAATCCTACCTTCAGACGATATATATATATATATCTCCAACAAAATTCACTATATATCTGTAGATATTCTCAAATCTGTATCGTGGTGTTTCAGGTAAGAGACCACTCATGCTACACAGAGAGAAGAGGATAGAACACCAAAGATCACCAAACCCTAAGGGAAGTTCAGGGAAGGGACAGCAGGAATGGAAGAGACCAACGCAGAAAAAAACGCAGCCCAAGAGAAACAAAGACCACATGGTAAACAGAAGAAAGCTTCAGTGAGAGAGCGTGTGAGTGAGACAAGACAGACAGACAGACAGAGACAGAGAGAAACAACCTCTAACCAAAGTTCTTACAGATACATTAGATGACATTCCTTCCATGAAACAAGAACAGGGCACTATACAAAAAGAACACTGAGAAAGCCCCCAAAAAGAGCTTTCAGGTAAGAGAAATGATTTTTCTCTTTTCTTTTTGTTGGTGGCAGTGCTGTTTTGGTTTTTTTTTTCTTTTTTTCCCTGAGACAGGGTTTCTCTGTGTAGCTTTGCGCCTTTTCCTGGAACTCACGGGGTAGCCCAGGCTGGCCTCGAACTCACAGAGATCCGCCTGGCTCTGCCTCCCGAGTGCTGGGATTAAAGGCGTGTGCGCCACCACCCGCCCGGCGCTGTTTTGGTTTTTGAAGCAGGGTCTCACTATATCGTCCAGGCTAGCCTCAAAACTCAACCCTCCTACCCAGACTCCTGATGCCAGGGTTATAGGCGTGTGCCCTCGCACCCAACCCAGAAATAAAATTTCAATGGAAGGGTTAAAGAAGAGTCAGGAAACTTCTTAGACAACAGAAAAAACGGTAAGACAAAAGAGGGAGGAAGGAAAAGCAAGGCAATCCGAAGTTGAAGAGCAGGAAGGTCCAACATCTGAAGGAGGAAATGGAAGGGCGGCGATCATCGCAGAAGATGAGAGGGAAGAGAGGTGTAGCTAGCAGCACATGGCGGAAGGAGGTAGACAGAAACCCTGACTCACTGGAGAAGGCGCTGTCTCGGAGGCCAGGGTTGCTGGGCACAGGGGCAGAGGAGACCACGGGAACGGCGGCAGGGGTGCTGTCAGGGAGCACCTCTCTGGAAGGAAGGGATGAGGAGGTGAGAAAGGGTCCCCAACTTCCACCCCCACCTCCCCGCTCCCCACTCACAGGTAGCCCTCATTGGGATAGTCGTCCTCGTCCTCATCTTCATCCACATTCTCACAGGCTGGCTCTGTGAGGAATGAGAAGTCAGCGTGACCTGGGACAGATCCAGCCATCCCCCACCCCGCCCGGTTCCCCCAGACCCTAGACCCACCCTGGTTCTCGTAGCTCGCCACACTGTTGGCTTCAAAGAGAGAGGGGAGGAAGATGGAGTCAGCTCAGGCTGCACACCCTCTCCCCAGCCCGCTAACCCTGGGCACGCTTACCATCCTCTGAATCTTGCCGGGAAGATGGCACCCGATGGGAACCCCCCAAGGGGCTGTGGGGATCTCCTGGAAGTCAAAGGTCAGGGACCAGGTCTAAGTAGGGACTCTGGGGCAAGCGGGGGTTGCAACAGGGGAAAAGCCACGTCCCCCCATCCTAGAAGGTGAAGGAGGCACAGTGGATCAGAGGGAGGGAGCTGAGGGGTACTCACGGAATGGGGAGCAGGTCTGGCTGCCTCAGGGGTGGGAAGGAAGTAACAAGAGGGTAGGAACGTGGCAGTTGTTCGGGGGACGGTTATTTCTGAGGACATAGAACCAAGCTTGAGGGAATGACCTCCAGACACCACCACCCCCGACCCACGTCCAGGTCTCTAAGGACAGATGTACCCCTAAAAACCATGTCCTAAACAGGCATGGGGGCTCCCACTTTCCCCCAACCCATCCCAGGTAATAGCCCTACAGACAGTTTAGGGTGAGCAGGACAAAGGCACACTCCCAAGAACCCTCAAGGAAGGCCAAGGACACTGAACTCACGAGGTGGTTTGATGAGGATGCTCCTTGGGTACAAACTGGTAGGAAAGAGGCAGCTTGGGTATAGGCCCAAGAGGGCCCCCAGCCCCCAAGCCCTCCCGTCAGAAACAAAGGGAAAACACATGGGGGGATGGGACTCACCTTTCTGTGGAGGCACTCTCATAGGAGGCTGGAGGAGAGAGGGGCCAATGAGGCAGGAATCAGGGGTGCACCGAGAACAAAGACACTCAGTCCCCATCCCATCACGTCCCCCCACAGCAGGGACTGAGGTAGGGGACAGTTAGAGGGAGCCAGGGGCTGGGGAGGGCATGAGGATCCAATGGGGCGTGACCTGCACCCAGTACCCCCAGAACTCCCCACTTACCTGGCAACTCACGGCAGCGCACACACAGGGCAGCCAGGAGCGTGACCAAGAGGGGGCAGCAGCAGGAGGCCCAGCTCCAGGAGGGCTCAGAGTGTCTGCTGCCATCTGCAGAGCACCTGCCCCAGACCCTGCCGCGCTGCAGCCCCTCCAGGCGGAGCGGCAGCAGGGGGTGTGGGACTGAGCGCGCCCCAGCCTGGGAATCCGCGGCGGCAGGCAGCTGCGTCCTCCTTTGGGGCTCAACGACCCCCACTTCCTTGCTGGACTGAGTGTGAGATCAGGGCCGGCAGTTTCTAGGCTCGGAGCCTGAGCTGGGGCCTGTGCCCCAGCTACCAGACGCGCGATCCCTGTGCCCAGCTGTACCTGCCCCTCTCTTGCTCCCCGCCTGCCTCTTCTCCTCCTCCTCACCACCCGCGTGCGACAGGAAGCTGTGGTGAGGGCAGGAAATCATCAGGCTCCTCAGCCGGCTGCGCCTGCCCCCTGCCCACTCACCCCCACCCAGTTGTGGGAAGGGGGAGGAGGCAGAGGGACTGTGTGAAGGAAGGGGTCTGAGGCTGCAGGATCAGACAACCCCTCCACTGGGAAGGGAGACGACCTGGCCAGCTGTGTCCCCCCCAAGCCTGGGTGGGAGGACTGTACGGAGGCTCTGTCAGGGGACTGTGTGGAGCAAGGGCGGCACCGCCCCCACCTCCCAGGCTAGGCCTCTGGGAGAGCAACTTCCAGGGACCACAGTGAGTCACGGTCACACTGAAGCAACTCACCCAGAAAAGAGCAGTTCTCCAGATCACCTAGCCCAGAAGACAGGGACCTACCCACAGGGTGACCCCGACTGCCCTGCTAAGTAAGTCCTGAGGCCACAGACATTCCCTGAAACCAACGGCACCCGCAGAGAGACAAGCGGCCAGTCACAGTCTGCTTACAAATTTTATTCCATTACAAATAGCACCAAACCCCTTGGGCTGCCCTAGTAGACAGGGACAAGCCCCATTTCTGGACCCCCATCTCTTCCCTGGGCTGCCTATGTAGTGTCTGGAAGCGGGGACACAGCCCAGGGCTTCCTCCTTAGACCTGGGCCTGGTGAGGGCTTCCGCCTGGGCACCTCCTGGGGTGGGCCCGGGGCTGGCTGTGGTGCACCTGTAGCTGGGTAACAGCTTCCTCAGATGAGCACGCTGGACACGGGGACCCGGGTGGAACGGCCTCGCTGAGGTACCACAATCCGGTCATCTGAGGGCCCCGTCTCATGCAGCAGACCTGCGGGGAAGGGGTCGGAGCCAGGGACAATCAGGAAAGAGCCAGCAAGGGGACAGCAGACAGACAGGCAGAGGGTACAGATGAGGCGGCAGCCAAAGTTCTCAAAACTGTTCAGACAGAAAGCCTGGTACACTTCCAGACAGACTCAAAGCTGAGCGGGATGGTACCGCGGAAGCTGGGACTCTCAACCCCTGGCCGGTGGCATGGGCCTGGGTGGATGGGATAGCCCGAGTGGAGGGAGAGCTGTGGACTAAGAGCCGTGGGGTGCACATGGATGAGCCAACAGATGGACAGACTGACAGGCAGTACGGTGACCGTGGGCTGACAGTGGCCCTCACTGACCCTCGCATGTGGAGTTGAGCCCGCCGGCGGTCGTCCTCGATGAACATGGCCGTGCCCAGAAAGGGCCGCACCACCCAGTGCCCCAACAAAAGCACAGAGCATGAGTGAAAACTGCAGGGCCCGGAACTCGGACAAGAAGGAAGCAGGCCAGCTCCGTCGGAGGCGGTCAGAGATCTGCCGGGGACGGACGGACCGGAAGAGTCAGCCCCACAGCCCCCTCAGGTAAAACCTTTCCACAACCTCCCTCCCATCCACCAGAGGCGCTAAGGGAAAAAGTGCCAAAGGTGACTATTGACGAACTAGGCCAGGCTATCCCATCCACCTAAGCTCGTATCACCAGCCACCGGGCCAGTTGCCGGGGTCGGGAGTACCAGGTTCCCAAAACCATCCCATCCCAGCCAAGGATAGTACTCACTAGACCAATGAGGTAAGGGCTCCCAGCATCGCCCCAGCAAATGGGACAGCACAATCTGGAAGGCCTCAGCAGTGGAGCGTCGAGTTGGGATCACCACATACTAGGAAGGAAAAGGGGGGTAACTCAGCAGAGGTCCCCAGAGAAACCATGGCCAAAGCCCACTGTAGGCCCCAGGCAGGCCCAGAGGCCCCTCTGTGGCTGGACTCTGACATACATAGGCAGCTGAGGTTTGAAGGGGAAAGGCCAGGATTCAGAATGAGTGCCACCACCTGACCCCATCCCTGCTCCCTTCGGCCTCTGCCCAGCGACTCACCAGGAGGATGTCAGCCACGATGGCCCAGTTCATAGACAACAGGGGTCTCCCCAATAAAGATAAAAATCTGGATGGCAGAAGAGGGAGAGAGTCACGTGACCAGGCTTAGGCATTAACTCACTTAGTCCCCATCACACCCCACAAGGCAGGGGCTAGCGCTCAGCACCAGCGCCTCACGTGGGAGGAGACAGCGCCGTCCCGGCTGCTTTGCCAGCGGCCCCCCAGCTGGGAAGGCCCAGGGCTGGGATTTGGAAAGGAGGCACTCCACCTTCAGTCTGCTCTGAACTACTCTGCTGGCTGACTCTGCACACGGAGTTAGCTGCTGGTGGTCATCCTCGATGGCCATGGTGGTGCCCAGGGAGGCCACGCCCATCCCTCCTGCCCCCGTGCAGAGATAGATACCCACTAGACCCCTGGTGTCCGACTCACGTAGGTGGCCACGATGCTGCCTCGGGCACAGGCCAGGGACAGGAAGAGGAAGGGCGCAGAGCCCAGGAGGCCGGTAGCACAGACCAGCGGGTCAGCCCGAGGGTTGATGCGGCGGAAGGCGGCGGCTGATCTCCACACCCAGGCCCACGCCCAGGACTCCAGTCAGGCAAGTGATGAGTCCGAAGATGAGACTAGGGGTTGAGTCCAGAGATGAGACCCCCCCAGCATGATTCCTTCTCCTTCCTGTGAGGCCCTCTGACCCCGCGAGGACAGTCCATCCCAACTGCCCTCATAGGACAAATCCATCCAGCAGAGAACCTCAGAGCCAATGTGTTACCTCATCACATGGTTCTCAGAACCAGAAACTGAGACTCCAAGAGTGGGAGGCAGCTGGTAGAGTCGGAATTCAAACTTTTCTACCCCGAGTCCGAATCCCCCGATACCCCTCCTACCCGCAGTCACCCCGCCCAGCCCCTCCCACGTACCTGTCAGAGGAAGAGCACGATTCTCCAGGGAGACAGGGCAGGGGTCTCCCCCAGAACAACACGGGAGCGCAGCAGGAACGCTGGGGCCCAGAGAGGCCAGGGAGCCCGTGACGAAGGCCACGGCAGTGAAGCCAAGGGAAGACAGGACGAAACTCGGACTGTGGACATTGGGAGGAAGTCAGACCATGGATGTGTCCTCTCCTCCCTCCCCCGGCTTATTCTACTGTCAGAGTTGGATGTGACCTGCGTCTATATCTCAGGCAAATGCCTCAGCCTCTGGCCATAAATATGGCTTCCTGGCAGGACACAAAACTCGGCCTGTTGAAGACTGCAGCCCCTCTGAGGCCTGAAATACGGAAGGAAGGGGTAAACTCACTTTCGTGCCAACGCCTTCAGATCTGCCCACCATGAGGTGGGGCTCAGGGGTGGTGAACCCGAGTGGCGCTCCACAGCTCCTCTTGGGGGCTCTTGTACCACCAGGAACAGCAACAGAACAGCCACCACCCCCAGACCTGGAGTCACCTGGGGAAAGAGCAAGCTTTGGGATGCAGGGCAGGGGTATACTGACCCTCTGGGGCCACGGAGAATGAGGAGGACAGACAGCTTAGCTCCCCAGGTCTTAAACTCCATAAGGGCTGGCTCAGAGAAGTTGGGACTGCAGCTTAGGAAGGTTGGCCACTGAGGACATCTGTTTCTATAGGCCTAGGTTTGCTTCTTCTTTGGCAACAGCACCCTGATTTTTCTTCAAGGACCCCCAACCAAATTTCTCTCAGTCCACATGGTTCAAACTGGATCTAAGGCCGAACCAAAAGGGCTGTTACTCTCCGGCCTTCCATAACTGATTACATAATGGGTATGTGACCCACGTTCAGCCAGTCGGACACCATCTCATGACTATTGTTCAAGGGTCGGAGGTGGCCAAGTTGCTCAGTTGAGGACGATCGCTTGGGAATAAAGTTAACATGGGGGAAAAAAAAATGAGTGAATCCAGGGATGGCACGGGAGTCCTGGGTCAGCTCCACTTTCCATTAGGAACGCTAATACTGTCCCTTTCTGGGGCTTCCAGCTTTACATCTGCAGCAAGACTTGTGGCTCCCTATTGAGGACCAGGCTTGCTGAGGCTCAGCTCAGCACAATGAGCACTGCCCCAAAGAGGGAGTGTATGGGCCAGGGAGCTTGCCTAGTGAGTGAAGGGTCTTGTGGCCAAGGCTGACAACCTGAATTCAATCTCCAGGACCTTCAGGTGAAGGAAAAAACCAACTTCCTAAAGTTGACTTCTGACTCCCATGGTCAGGCATGCATGCACACACACATTTTTTTTTTTTTTTTGTTTGTTTGTTGTTTTGGTTTTTCGAGACAGGGTTTCTCCTTGTAGCTTTGCGCCTTTCCTGGAACTCACTCTGTAGACCAGGCTAGCCTCGAACTCAGAGATCTGCTTGCCTCTGCCCCCTGAGTGCTGGGATTACAGACGTGCGCCACCACCGCCCATTTTTTTTTTTTTTTTAAAGAGAGTTAAAAAAGGGAATATCTGAAGAAAGAAAGGGAGATCAGTAAGGTTGCTGACTCCCTTAACTCTAACCAGACTCACCCGCAGAGCCCAGTGCCAGTCTCCAGCCACATCCTTCACTTTGGAGCCCGCAATGTAGCCTAGACCACTGTGGGAAGGCAAAGAGGAAAGTCACATGTGGTCAGTCAAACGCCCACCAAGCCGGGCGGTGGTGGCGCACGCCTGTAATCCCAGCACTCGGGAGGCAGAGGCAGGCGGATCTCTGTGAGTTTGAGGCCAGCCTGGTCTACAAAGCGAGTTCCAGGACAGCCACGACTATTTCATAAAGAAACCCTGTCTCAAAAAAACAAAACAAAACAAAACAAATGTCCCATCAAGCCCTCGCCCCGCATCAGGCCCGCCCACAGCCTACTCACCTGCCCACAGGAATGGCAAAGTAGAAGACACTGAGCATCCGACTCCGCTGGTCTGCCACGAAGAGGTCGGCGATCAGGGGTGGGCGCAATGGTGGAGTAACTGGCCTCCCCGACCCCCACCAGGCCCCGGGTCAGGAGGAGCAGCCAGAAACGCTGGGAAAGGAGACATGGGGGAGGTGGCATCCCACCCTGGAGCCAGCCTCCCAGGAGACCTCTCCAGGGAGTGCTGGAGAGGCAGAGGGACAGTGAGAGAGGCCTGGGTCGAGAATCACACAGACCTGGCTGGAATCCTGGCTCCACTTACTAGCTGTGACTTTGAGAAAATAACTTAACCTCTCTGAGCCTCAGTTTCCTCATCTGCAAAAGGGGAACAACAGTTTGTTCACATGGTACTCTGAGGGCTTTGCACTCGGTAGGTGCAAAATAAATCTCGGGTTTCTATTTTCCCTCCCACCTAGGACCCACCCTAGTGGTGAATAACGATCTTAACCTGTGGACTGTCTGCTTACCAAAGGCACCTGGACCAAGGCCAGGGCACAGGATCACCTGAGGGCACTAGGGCTGCCTGGGGCTGAGGACAGCAGATAGGGGAAGATTTCAAAGACACAGAAAAGCATCTGCCAGGGAACTGGAGGGAAACGCGGAGCATCATGTGTTTCCAGAGTTTTGGGAAGGAAGAAGTGGGTCACTGTGTCAGAGGCTCCCAAGAACAGGGCCAGAAGGAGAGCCCCATGAAGCAACCAGGGAAACACTGTGGTCTACAGAGCCAGCAGAGTGGCAGGGGCAGCACTGGAGGGTGGGTGGACAGAGGAAGTACAGGCCAAGCGACAGCTGCCCCAGGCTGCTCTCTCACCCACACTAGCACCAGCCCTAAGAGGAAGCCCTGGTCCCAGGAAGGGAGAGGACAATGGCCATTGCTACAGAGATCAATGGTGAAGAAAAAACAGTGTTTAGGTGTGCAGTGAGAGAGTTAGGGGACAGGCAAGTGATGAGTGGAAGAAAGCTCATGAAGAACAGTGGGCAGGATAGGGTGGGCAGGTTAACTCAGGCAATGAAAACGTGGAAGATGGCGCAGAGCAGGACACTACAGAGGTTCCCCCACACTCAATCCAAAATGGCTCTGAAGAACAGCAGCAAACATGGACGGGGAGTAGGGAGAAAGTACAGGGCCTCACCTCTCTGGGGATGAAGGACGACCCCAGTGTCACCAGGGACCAGAAGGCAATGCCCCCACACATGAGGTACTTCCGATTGTACCTGTCACCCAGGTAGCCAAACACTGGTGCCAACACCATGTAACTGGAGATGAACACTGGGGGAGGCAGAGAGTCACAGCCCGGTTCCAGTTCCTTGCTGCCCCAGCCCCTCCCCCACTCCTATTCCAGTTAGGGAGCCGGGTATAAAATGTTCAAACAGAGATCCCCACCCTCCTCTTCCCTGATGAACACCATTCCCATCCCAACCCTGTAGCCCATCAGAGCCGGGGGGGGGGGGGGGGGGGGGGCGCGACACAGTCTCATCTTCACAACTTTCCAAAACGTCCTGTATAGAATGGACATCCAGCTGGCATGTTCCTACTCCCACCCAGCCTGAAACAAAATCCACATCCACACCAGACGCACTGTGTCCTGTCTAATCCACCCCTTCCTCTTTCCCTCCCTGCACCTTCACGACAACTGCCAAGATCAATACATTAGGGTTCGGCACTCAATGTCCCCTCAAAGCAACATTTTCATTTCTCTCCTGAGCTTCACAAAATTCAACTGCTTCAAATTCCAACCCAGACAGTTACCCAGACTACCATCCATCCCAACCCCATTTTCTTTTCTTTTCTCTTTTTTGGGTGGGTGAGTGGGAGGGGAAAGTCTCACTATGTACACAGGCTGCCCTGAACTCAGGAGTTTTCCAGCCTTTGCCTCCCAAGTGCTGGGATTAAAGGATTAACATCTGCTGTATGCTTTTTCTTTTACATTTTTACATTTCACACTCATCCATCTGAAATTATCCCGTTTTAATTAACCCCCTCAGGCACAGGAGGATGTCAGCTCCTACAGGGGCCATGACTGTTAGTCTCATTTAACCACAAGCTAGCACAAAACAAGTGTTCACTTCACGTGTGTTGAATGAAAAGCAGGATGGATAATGAAACCATCTAGGGAGGTCTGCTGCTTCTCTAACTCAACACCACCTTGACCTAAGACTTCACTCTCACTTCTCCACACATAAGTGCCTCCGGTTCCGCATGGGCCTGGGGCAGGAAAACAAACACTATCTGCTTATGTGACCCTGGGCAAATCCCAACTCTCCTCAAAGTCTGAGTTTGCTTATAAAATCTAAATAAAAGCTAACTCCCCATGCAAAGCAGGAAGAACACCACTACTGCTCAGCTGTAGGATAAGCAGGCAGGAAGGCCTTGCCAAAGTCCTATAGGGCTACTACACCTCTAAGGTGCTCTACTGGGACCTAGCATATAGTGGGTTCTCAGAAAGAAAGGAGAGAAATAACGCCCCCGCCCCCAAAGTGCTCTTGCTATATTTACTGGTGCCTACTAGGTGCCACACCCGGCATTTCTCAGTCCTCACACCAGTCCAAAGAATCAGCCCATTTTATTACTAGCTTCATTCTACAGACTAGAAAGATGAGCTTAGAGAAGGTGAGCATGTCGCCTGCCATCACATAGTCAGTAGCTGGCTCCTTCTGTAAATGTCACGTCCCAGCCCTGGACAGTCCATTACCTCCGGGGAGCTCTGGCCAACAAGCCCTCACTAGGCACACCTGCATGTATGTAGGCCCAGTTGAGGCAACAAAAGGCGAGTGGGCTGTGTGAGCAGGAGCCTCACTCACCAGTCTGGATGAGGCCAGAACTACTATCTCCAATGTTGAAGAAGTGCTCAATGTCTGGAAGGACTCCTGGAAAGAAAGAAAAAAAAAAAAACCTCAGGAGAGCACGGAAGAGGGGGCCCCATCCTGGGAAACTGCTTCCTTCCCCACGTCCCTTCTTTCGAATAGCAGTGCCTACCAGCCACGGTGAAGCGGTCCATGTAGTTCAGGAGGTTGATGTAACACAGCACCGCCACTATGAGGGTCGAATGGCCCTGAGACAAACCAGTGATGCGCTGCAGGCCTTCATGGTCTGGGACCTCGGGCTCCCCGGACTTGGGATTCCCCATGGGCCCCGGGCAATCCCGGTGTGGCCAGGCGCTGGCCCGTCATCTGGGTCATCAGCTTGGCTGAGGGAACGGCGCTGTGTCGGACCCCCGCCATGGTCCCAGGAGAACGCAACCGCCCACGCTCCGGTCCCACCTCCGACGGAAGGAGATTAGCGAAAGGATGGCAAGGAGAGTTGCCCACAGCCGGCTAGGGGGCGTGCTCCAATGCACAGAGCACGACTGGGAAAAGCCCTGGGCTTCGTCATTCCCTCTGGTTCCAACAGAGAGGTCGTGTGAGATGCAGGTGACGTTGGGGACAGGAGCGGGAAGACGAGGACCCAGTCGCCCTCCCCACGCTGATGCTCTCCTCACCCTGGGAAGGAGCGCGCCACACTCGCTGTCGCTCAGTCCCGGCGCTGCACCACGGCCGTCGCCATGTTGCCCCAGGAGCAGGTCATGTGACACCGGAGCCCGATCGGAGGAGAAGTCACCCGGTGAAAGGATTGAGCACGTGACCTTCCACCGACTACGGAAGCCTCCGAGGCTTCTTGGGCTCTTGCACACAGCCAAGCACCATGGCAACCCGACGCTTGTTCCCACTTTCACCAGTAGTCTCCAGGGGGCCTCGCAAGTTGGCAAAATCGAGCGCCTTAGAGGGAATGCCCATTTATGCGGCTTCTTGTCATCACACGAGATAGTGAATCACAAAGGTTTGGAAATAATACATCTCTCCAGATGCTAGTGAGAAGTTCCCACTTTCTTCTTTGGTGATTGTGATGGGCTTCATTGCTCAGAAATCGTTGAATGAATAACGGAGAGCAGCTGCCCCCTTTTAGTTCCCAATCATGAGCTTTTACAAAACGTGGATATTTAGATTCCTATAGAGTCAGGCGTGGTGTCGCACGCCTTTAGTCCCAGAAGGCAAAGGCAAGCGGATCTTTGCAACTTCAAGGCTAGCCTGGTTTACATAGCGAGTTCCGGGACAATGGAAGCCACAGAATGGGTCCTGCCTCAAACAAAAGATTCCCGCAGACTAGAAGGAAGAGGACGCACCAGTATGGCCACAAAGAGTTTACCTCCAGCAACCAAGACTGGAGTCCTCGCGCCCTCTGGTGTCTCTCCTGTTAGGGTAGGCAGGGGCTCAGAACCAAAGAACTGCAGAGCCCGACACGGAAAGACAGGCAGGGATGGCTCACGCCTTTAATTGCAGCACTCAGGAGGCAGAAGCAGAGCAGGTCTCTGAATTTGAGGCTAGCCTGGTCTACAGAGCAAGTTCCATGACGGCCAGAGCTAAACAGAGAAACCCCGTCAAAAACAAAACAAACAAAAGCCAATCCCACTGGGTGTGGTGGCTCAAGCCTCTAATCTTAGCGCCTGAGGCTTTTTTTTTTTTTTTTTTTGCTTGTTTTTAGTTTTTCTTCTGTTTTCTTCCAAAGTTTCTCTATGTACCCCTGACTGTTCTAGAACTCACTTTTTAGACCAGGCTGGCCTCAGACTCACAGAGATCCACTTGGCTCTGCCTCCTAAGTGCTGAGATTAAAGGTGTGCGCCACCCCTGCCCCAGATTGCTTGTTTTTCTTAATATACATACATTCTGAATAAAAGATTACTATAATCCTATGAAAAGTACTGCTTTGCAATCCCACTTCCAGAGTCAGGGATGTAGCTCAGTTGATTGCATATTTGCCTATCATGGCTGAGACCCTGGGTTCAATTCTCTCTCATAAGCCACGCCAGTGAGTGGCAGGAGGCAGAGAGAGGAGGCTTGCAAGTTCAAAATGTTCCTTGATACACAGCAATAGTAAGTTCAAGATGGAGCTTTGGATACATAAGACCCAGTCTCAAAAAAATTAAAAGTAATTAAAAATTAAAAAATTTTGAGGGTTCGAGGACTGGACTGTATTAAGAGTCCATAAACCAGCCTGGACGAGATGATGATGATGGTGATGATAATAAATAGAGATAAAGCTCAAAATACTTAAGGGCGCAGCAAGATTGGGCTCAGAGGATAAAATACTTGCTGCTAAGGCTGACAACCTGAGTTCCATCCCTATGACTCAAATGGAGGAAGAAGAGGACTGCCACAAGCTGTCCTCTATCTCATACAGGAGACATGCACCCCAAAATAAAAATGTAATAAAAACTAAAAATTTTAAAACACTGTTAAATTAGAAGCTGGACATAATAGACTGCATATTGTATTACTCAATTCATATGAAAATCATGACTGGAGACACGCCTATAGTCCCACGTGCTCAGGAGGCTGAGGCAGGGGATCACTTGAACCCAGGAAATTGAGGCCTTCTGGGCTAAAGCCATCTGGGCTATTTAATGAGTCTCTGACTCCCCCCCCCCCCCAAAAAAAATCAATATTATCATATTTGCATTTGAGAAAAGCTAACAATCGGTTGCAGATAGATTGAAGAGGGTTAGGAGGGAAGCGGTGGCTTGTGTTATTATACTGCAGACAGGGCATGGGAGAAGAGGGACAGAAAGGCCCTTATCTGAGAACAGAGACAATAAAGGTAGAAACTAATTAGAAGCTAGCCTGGGCTACATATGGAACCCCATTGCTGGGGTGGTGGTGAATGCCTTTAATCCCATCACTCAGGAGGCAGAGGCAGGTGGATTTCTATGAGTTCGAGGCTAGCCTGGTCTACAGCGCAAGTTCCAGGACAGCCAGGGCTACACAGAGAAATCTTGCCTTGAAAAACCAAAAAAATACAAAACAAAACAAAAAACATCAAGAGGGTTGGGGGGTCAAGCATAGAGTAGATAATGAAAATGAAGCAAGTATCAATGATGCTTAAGACCCCAAGTTCCATCCCAAGCATCACAAAACAAAGCATGAAGCCAGTGGTAGAGCAGCTGCCCAGCCTGAGTGAGGGCCTGGTTTCCATTCTCAGCACAAAAAGGAGGTAGGGGGTGACACATTATTTCTGGCTCATTCACTGAGATGGTGTCAGTGGGATTCTCTGAGACATAAAATTTATTCCTTCAGTAAATTTTTGGGAAGAAACAACTGTGTGTATGAACAACGAGCATTGTTGAAAAGAACAAGACGTTGTTTGTCAAGCACTTACAGACCAATGGGAAAGCAAGAAACATATATCAAACAGACGTAGAGAGAGCTACAGCTTTGTTTCATGCTAAGGTGGAACATAAAAATGATGTGACCATGGTTGGGCGGTAGTAGCCCACGCCTTTAATCTCAGCACTTGAGGGGCAGAGGCAGGCGGATCTCTGTGAGTTCGAGGCCAGCCTGGTCTACAAAGCAGGTGCCAGGACAGCCAGAACTGTTACACAGAGAAACCCTGTCTTGAAAAACCACACACACACACACACACACACACACACACACACACACACACACACACACAGAGTGATGTGGACGGCTCTTCAGGAGCTTTAGGAAGAACTAATCTCTGTGTTAAGAGAGGATAGCAGGAGTTGGGGAGATTGGAGATTATAAAGGTACATAAGAAACGGCAAAATAGCCAGTGTGGTGGCACACATCTACACTCCCAGCCCCTGGGAGGCTAAGGCAGAAAGATCTGGAGTTAGAAGGTAGCCTGGGTTACATGGAAAAACTCTGTCAAGAGGGGTATGGGGTCTTCTCAAAGATTTCTAACTTCTAGTATTTAAGGATTGGGTACGAAGAAAGACGGTAAGGAAGAAAAAGAACCAAAGCACAGTGAGTATCTTACTGCCAAGTGTGGTCAGCAGAGCTGCATCCCCTGAGTGCTCATCAGAGACAGGCATCCAGACTCCTCCTCAGAGCTTCTGGTCCAGACCAAAGCACAGTGAGTATCTCACTGCCAAGTGTGGTCAGCAGAGCTGCATCCCGAGTGCTCATTGGAGACAGGCATCCAGACTCCTCCTCAGAGCTTCTGGTCCAGACCACATGCTCCAGTGCAGGCCCCCACTCCCCGTTTTATGAGTGTTTTGCCTGCATGTATGTGTATGTCTGTGCCCTCAGAGGTCTGAAGAGGGTGTGGAATCCCTAGAACTGGAGTTAACAGGTGGTTGTAAGCCACCATGTGGGTGCTGGGAATTGAACCTGAGTCCTCTGCAAAAGCTACAAGTGTTCTTAATCCCTGAATAATCTCTCAAGCTCCCTACCCACTTCCTTTTTTTGAGATGGACTCTCGCTACGTCACTCTGGCTGGCCTGGAACTTGATATATAGAACAGGCTGGCCTTGAACTCACGGAGACCCTCCTGCCTCTGCCTCCTGAGCACAGGATTAAAGGTGTGTGCCACAATTGGCCCTTCATTTAAAAACATGGATTTTATTTATGTGTGCATGCCTGTGTAAGTAATGCCATGTGTGTACAAGTGCCTGGAGAAGCCAGAAGAGAGCACTGGCATTGGATCCCCCAAGGTTGAGTTTCAGGCAGTTGTGAGCTGCCTGATGTGGGCGCTGAGAACTGAACTCCAGTTCTCTGTAAGAGCAGCAAGTGCTCTTCACCACTGAGCCATCTCTCCAGCATTTTACCAGGATCCCAGGACACTTTGATTACACAAGTGTGCCAATCTCAAGAATTCAGAGTCTCAGGTCAGGCCTACCTTTATCTACATCTGGCTCTGCAGTGGATGGCTGGGGGAGTCTCAGGTCAGGCCTGCCTGTGTCTACATCTGGCTCTGCAGTGGACGGCTGGGGGAGTCTCAGGTCAGGCCTACCTTTATCTACATCTGGCTCTGCAGTGGACGGCTGGGAGAGCTGTGGCAGGTTAGTCTCATTAAGCTTCAGTTTCTCTGTAAAACTAGTTTCATGGAGTTAATCGGACATTGAGTAAATGCTCATTACAGTTACAAAGGCATAGTCTTTGTTAAGTACAAGGGAAAATTGGAGAAAACTGGACCTTCTAGGACTTGCTACAGGGTCAAAGGTATGGATGAGCAATCCTACAGAACTCAAGAAGCTAAGGATTGACCCCAAAGCCATGCAAGCACACTATTGCTGACCTATGTATGTCCTCAGTCCAGTTTTGAACTCACTCTAGCCCAGGCAGGCCTTGAGCTTTCTAACACCCTGCCTCGGCCTACTGA